TCATAATACTTACATCTTGCACGCAGAGCAACACCTCGGCCAGGAATTGGGCACACAAATGTTTGTACCACTGTGCTACGCTTGATGTGCGGCCAAAGGAGAATAAAACAGCCACAAGACTTATTGCTATGCGGAGATCTGAACCAGCCAGCGTCCAGGCACCATCTAGTGCACACCCTGCGCCATGTAGCCACGCCGGCAGGTCCGTAACGCTGCACGCCTGTTGAATTAAGACAAGTAGAATCAGTGTTCTGCGATAGGTCGGCGATGTCCTGCAATCTGTCAGAGGTACTGGCGTACAAGGGATTGAATTGCAGGATACTCATCGTGTGCTTGACCCTCTTCAGCGCCGTAGTCATTGTGCGGATGGCCGAGGCTGCACTTGTGGCTGTGGGCCCTCAACTCATGCAAGTGAAAGACCAAGAGGGACACGCTGCCTCGACTGAACGAGCGCCGAAGAGGTAGCAGTGTGGGCTAAATTAATGTACGGTAAGGTGGGTGTGGTCAGCCCTGCAGAGCCGACGCTTAGGAGGAGGAGGGAGGAGGAGGAGGAGGAGGAGGAGAAGGATGGGGAAGATGAGGACGAGGAGCAACACGATGAACTGGCAGCAAACATGTGGGCACTTTACACGCGCCTCGTCCCGCGAAGATGCTTGCAACAAGGGCGGCGGCTCGAGCAGGCACGTGGCATGCCGCCTGCGTCCGTGGTGCCACATCTCAGTGCTCCATCAACGTTTGAAGGGTCCCTGGGACACACAATTAAATACGCACGCATAAAACTATTCCCCATCTTTTCCCATATTTTCTGGGTTTTTGCCTTCCCCCCCACTTCCCATATTTCCCCATATTTTCCTGGGAGTCGACGATTAATTGTGTCTGTGTGTTTCTTTCCCTCCTGAACGTTGTCGCACGAGTCGCCAACGAAACAGCTCGGGGCAAGATAAGCCCGCCTGGTGTAGTCTACTTCGTGCCGCGGTGGAAAGACGAGGCCGTAACACGCTCGCATGCTGGCCAACACAATCGTCATGTGCTTCAAGCTACCAGCATGCGAGGACATTTGATGCATGCCCATCTGGGAGTTGACTGGTCAACAAGGCCGAACGCGATATACGACAAGGGACAAGGGAATGGTTTAGTTTATCTCCGCTACGAGCGTCGTGTCACATACTTGCATGTGTGCTCGCACAGCATATTGCGAGCCTGACGGTCCCATAGTACGTATGCGGTTTCGCCGCTGCAGGGACCAATGCTGTATCGGGGCACGAGTGGAACCCTGCAGCGCTCGAGACAGACTCAGTGATGTATAAGGTGGGCACCGACATTACGGTTTTGAAAAGTACCCCAACAAAATACCCGAACAACATACTCTGATAACAGCAAGCGTGAAGAGGCGGGTCGACGAGGAGGTCGGCGAGTGTAAGTATTCCTAGGGGCACTTGCGCGGGGGACAATGGTGAGACTACGGCCTTGCGCACAATATTGCATGTTCTAAAAGAGATGGTTGCCGGGAAAAGGGTGAGAGCACGGCCGTGTGCGCGGTATTGAGCTGTTCACGAGGGATCGTGGCCGGGGCATCGGTGAGAGCACGGCCGCATGCACCTCATTTTTTATTTCTTACACGGGATCGTGGCCGCCCAAACAGAAAGGTAACGGGCATGGAGGTGGGAGCGCGCTTCTGGAATCACTTGTGCGAGAATCTTGAGCGAAACGGGTGCCGAACCCGCCGATCCAAGGAGGCGGTCCCGGGCTCGCCGTGAGGCGTCCCTTAGGCTCTCCGTCCCCTGTTGGACTCGTCTTCGGCATGTTTTGACGCCTAGTAAGACCTTCAAGCGAGACGCGATCGCGGAACAGGATGGGCCTTTCGACTGTCCACGGGATGGCCACCGATCTCTGCGGAAATCTGCGGACAATATGGAAGCGAGTTAGTGCAGAAAGACTAAAAAGGACCATGGATGGATATATATATATATATATACATCAACCATATTTATATATATATATATATATATATATATGTTTAAACATATTTATTAAAAAACATATGGATATCTGATTTGGTTGCAATCCAGGAATATATCGGGGGGAAAACTATGCTTCCATCACGTAAGCTCCCAGTCTCTCTTTCTGTCCCTGTCATTCGGTCTGCCATCGTTTCCCCCCCTCTTTCTCTCTCGCTCTCTCTCTCTCTCTTTCTCCCGCGGGCTGTCCTGATATGTTTTCGAAGCAGCCGATGCGAATGCTCTTGAAGTCCTGCTTTGGCGTTCCATCAACGTGGACCAACCCGCTCAATCTGCCCCCGAAAGGGCGATGCGTAACCTGCTGGGATCTGCTGCGGCGATGCTGGCGCCAGCTGTTCCAAGGATTTGGTCATCTCGCAGATGCGTGCGACCACTGCAGATAATGGAGCGGATAGGGGGCGGGTGGCGGGGGGCCGGGGAGCTCATCGTCACGACAGTGGTGCGTGGTTCGCAATGCCGCATGCAGGATCAAGGAAAGGATGATATTCGTGAAACAGAACGCGTACCTGTTACCTCCCTCCCGTCGGACGTAAAGCGGCAGTGGCGCCGAATCGTGGATCCTCCGACGCGCGCAACGCAGAGGGTGGCACGAACCACGACATGCAACATGTCATCGCTCGGAGTGGGGATGGGCTGCGTCCAGTTCCGCACTGCTCGTCCATGGGCTGACAGCGGGCATGAGCAGGCGCGGTCTCATCGTCCAGGAGCATCGAGATTCGCGCACGTAGTGGCGTTAGCGCCTATGTTTCGTGCGGGTTCTTGCTGTTTTTCCCTACCTAGGCTCTGCCTAGAAGGGTTCTTACTCTCTTTGCTTAAAGGGCCGGGCAGTGCTAACCGCCCCGGGCGGTTCCCCCAGTCCCCGCCCCGCGGTTCCCCCAGTCCCCTGGGAGCTTTAGCCTTAGCTTTAGCTTTAGCTTAGCTTTAGCTTTAGCTTTAGCTTTAGCTTTAGCTTTAGCTTTAGCTTAGCTTTAGCTTAGTTTAGCTTAGCTTAGCTTAGCTTTAGCTTAGCTTTAGCTTTAGCTTAGCTTTAGCTTAGCTTTAGCTTTAGCTTAGCTTTAGCTTAGCTTCAGCTTAGCTTTAGCTTAGCTTTAGCTTAGTGTTAGCTTAGCCTTAGCTTAGCTTTAGCTTAGCTTTAGCTTAGCTTTAGCTTAGCTTTAGCTTAGCTTTAGCTTAGCTTAGCTTAGCTTCAGCTTAGCTTAGCTTAGCTTTAGCTTAGCTTTTAGCTTAGCTTAGCTTAGCTTTAGCTTTAGCTTTTTTAGCTTAGCTTTAGCTTAGCCTTAGCTTATATTTAGCTTAGCTTTAGCTTAGCTTCAGCTTAGCTTTAGCTTAGCTTTAGCTTAGCTTTAGCTTAGCCTTAGCTTAGCTTTAGCTTAGCTTTAGCTTAGCTTTAGCTTAGCTTTAGCTTAGCTTTAGCTTATCTTTAGCTTAGCTTTAGCTTAGCTTTAGCTTAGCTTTTAGCTAGCTTAGCTTAGCTTTAGCTTAGTGTTAGCTTAGCCTTAGCTTAGCTTTAGCTTAGCTTTAGCTTAGCTTCAGCTTAGCTTTAGCTTAGCTTTACTGATACGACTAATGCTGCTTTCCTAGGGGCTCCAACTCCTGGGTAGGGTCGCACTGGGATAATTTGCACCTGCAGCTCCATCAGGCCGCGTAACTCCATGTCCGAAACCAAGGTCTCATTGTCCGTGTAATTCGCCACCAGGTCGGCTCCATTCACCTTGCCGTCGGTAGCGAAAACGGCTGGGACTGCGCCAGTACATGCGGATGCCACTGTCGAATGCACCAACGCAGATATCCTCAACCGGCTTGTCTGGGTGGGGTCCTCCTTGTGCCCCATCTGGGACGCTCTGGAAGGATTTATCCTGGGTCTGGGCTGGCACGACAGGGCCCGCTTCCCTCAGGACCAATTCTACCTGGCTTCATGACGGCCGCCTCCCGCAGCCCCAGCCCCGACTCTCGAGCGGAGGGGCGGGGAGGGCCAAACCCGCACGACGTCGCCGTCCTCCCTACCCCTCCTGCTCCGCCTGGCGCAGCGGAGGCGGTCTGTCGCCCGCGTCGCCCGCCCGAGCCACCCGCTGAACGGGGTGTGCCGCAGGACTCCTCCTGTATCCCTCTTCAAATTTCGTTTTCTCTGCTGCCGTGTTCTTGTCGGCCTTTTGATAACCACTGGGCACTTCGTGTTTGGTTTACCAAGGTTTTGATACAAATGTGCAGACCGTTAACATCCTCCTCGATCTCTCGACCCTTCGACCCTATCTCCTGCAGCCTCAGCTCGACTCGAGCTGGGGGGACTGGTTCCGCGCGTGAGGAGGGAGGGCGTCGTCGTGTTCGCCGTCGTCGTCGTCGTCGTCGTCGTCGTCGTCGTCGTCGTCGTCGTCGTCGTAGTCGTCGTCGTCGTCGTCGTCGTCGTCGTCGTCGTCGTCGTCGTCGTCGTCGTCGTCGTCGTCGTCCCCCTCTTCCTCCTCCTCCTCCTCCTCCTCGTCCGCCTCCCTCTTCTGCTCCCCTTCCCGGGGCAGGGCGAGTTGAGACAACGACGACTCTAAATCGGCCCCCGGATCCCTCTCGAGGTCCAAACGCACCAGTTTCCCAGGCTGCGTCCAGCCGTGGCGGCGAGGGCCCACCCCCCGAAGGCCAACTACCGTTGTCTCAGCCCGCCGATCCTTCGATCCTCCTCCTCCTCCTCCTCCTCCTTCCTCCTCTTCCTCGCCCTCCTCCTCCATGAAAGCAAGAAGGTACCGATGCCGCCACTCACCGAACCTACCCTGGGGCGCGGTCCGACCAGGATCTCGAGGCGAACTCCGGCCGTGGGGGCGAGGGCCCTGCAGCACACGAGCTGCGGCATCGGCACGCCTGCCCCCTCCGACCCTCCGCTTCGACCCTTCCGACCCTTCGATCCGAACTCTCGACGGGTCTCCGCAGCCACCGATCCGCGCGCGCGCGCGAGCGCGCCAGGGCGGGCCGCCCCCCCGCCGCGCCGAGGCCCGGGGCCGAGGAGCTCCTCGCGCCGCTCGAGCACCACCGCCACGGCCGTGTGGGTGAGGAACTGGGGGGGAGGGGGAGGGTGAGAGGGGGGCTTCCTCCTTCGCCACCTGGCCCTCCTCCTCCTCCTCCTCCTCCTCCTCCTCCTCCTGCCCCCCCTCGTGCTGATCCTCCTGACCCTCCTCCTCCTTCTCTTCCTCCTCCTGACCCTCCTGCTGATCCTCCTCCTGCTGATCCAACCCTGTCCCTCCTCCTCTCGACCCCTTCCCCTAGTTCTCCTCCTTCCCCTCCTCCTCCTCCTCCTCCTCCTCCTCTTGATCCTCCTCTTGATCCTCCTCCTCCTCCTTCCACTTGGAGGGGCACCCAGGCGGATGGTCGCCTTCCTCCTTCTCCTCCCCGTCCTCTTCCTCCTCCTCCTCCTCCAGCTCCTCTTCCTCCCCTGAACCATCCTTCTGTATCTCCTCTCGACCCTCCTCCTCCTACTCCTCCTCCTCCTCCCCTTCTTCCTCGGCGCCTCATCCTCGGCTCCTCCTCCTCCTCCTCCGTCTCCTCCTCCGCCTCCTTCTCCTCCTCCTCCTCCTCCTCCTCCTCCTCCTCCTTCCTTGTGAATAACTCTTTCCTGTCGCACCCCGAGGCCAATCGGAAGGGCGGGCAGGGCGTTTCCCCTGAGACCTACTTACCACTTCTACGCTTGAAGCTAAACAACTGGCAACAATTTTACTGACTGACGGGCGGGTGGTTTTCAACATGTGGCTCTCGCCTTAGCGCCGCGCACATTCGTCTAAAACATTCGCAAACATTTCACGGACTGATGGCGGATGGTTTTCAAACTGTGGCTCTCGCATTAGCGCTGTGAGCATTCGGTTAACAAATAGCAAGAAAGTCACGGATTTGAGGGCGGATCGTTTTTTAAATGTGGCTCTCGCCTTCGCGCCGCGCAAATTCGTTTAAACATTTGCAAGAGATTCACGTGTTTGGGGCGGGCCGTTTTCAAAATGTGGCTGTCGCCTTAGCGCCGCGGGCATTTGTTTTGAATATTTGCAAGAGCTTCTCTGATTGAGGGCGGCCCGTTTTTAAATGCGGCTCTCGCCTCAGCGCCGCGATTAGTTCTGAACTGTTTGCAAGAGTGTCGCTGATTCTCATGGTTGACGTACCAGCAAGGGCGTTTTGGAGCGATTGAGGCTCGCCAGGGCGCAACAATTACGTTGATTCGCGGTGTCGAAGTCCAAGGAATGTTCTGACACGGCTCAAGATTGCCAAGACGCAACAGTCAAATTAACCTGTGGCGTTGAAGTCCTGAGAACTGTCTTCTGGCACGCTTCACGATTTTCACCCGGTTGTCCCCCAACGGGATAGTTCCCTCAGTGGAAATGAACCCTTGTAGGGGCCTATGAAGAGGGAGCTTGGAGGGAGGGTGGTCTTGGGTTTGCACTGGTCCTGCTCCTTCTCCTCTTCCTTCCCCTCTTCCTCCCACCTCGTCGCGCTGTGAAGCAAATCACGATGCAATTTTTCTTGGGGGGGGCATTTTCGGCCTCCGTGGGCCCTCGCCAGGCCCCGGGACCGTCAAAAACGGCTCGGGATGAATGGCTGGTCCTGGGGAAGGTGTCCAGACTTCCAGGGGTCCACGTTGTGAAAAACATGACGTCGACATTCTGGGTCCTCCTCCTGCTCCTCTTGAACCTCATCCCCCTCCCCTGCAGATGCTGATGTGGCCCCGCCAGCTACTTCACGTCCGGTACTGAGCTCTGTTGGCCAGGGCGCAGCTGGACGAACCAGGCGAGGAGCGCCCCGTCGGCTTCATGCCGGTGCCGATCAGGGTGTGGGGCAGGATGTGTCGCGCCGACATGCCAGAATGGTGCGAGGTCCGAGGGAGATGTTTAGGACGTCTGCGCTGTAGGCAGCGCACGTCACGATTGCACTGGGTGAGGCTTTGCGCAGCGGTGGGCGCCACGTCCCTGGGCGACTTCTTTGGAGCCTGGAGAAGTTCCACGACTCGGTGGACCCATCCAAGCTCATCGGCGAGAGTATCCAGTGCGAGGTGGCGGCGGTGGAATTTATGATTGGCACGTTGATTTGCTTAGCTCCTGGGGTAGTCAATGCGAACGGCGCCTTTGCGGAGAGAATCGTCCCGTTCAACGCTCTCGCGGCGGGGAGCTTCAGCGCCAGCAGTTAGACCAGGGTGATGTTGTACGCCATCTGGAGCATACCAACAGCAGGGCGCCTCTGGCCAGACTACGCGAATTTGTTGCCGATATCGTGGCGCGGAGGCGCCAACAGATCAAGAGGCCCCCCTCCCGGGTGCAGCGTCGGAGGTCGTGACGGGCTGCCTGGACGACACTTTCTGGGCTTCCAAGAAGTCGAAGCTTCTTGCGACGGATGCTCCAGATGTCAGCTCTGTGCAAAACATCTTGGCCAAGCATGGCGTGAAGGTGTCCAGGGCCACTTGAGTGTGCGACCTTGGTATTGACGCTGTACTGCGACGTCGGCGCCAGCGCACCACTGCGGACAAGCGCTGGCGGTGCATGACGCAGCGGGCCCACCATGCACGCTCGTTCGCAGGGTTCCGCAAGCGGCGCTGGATATGTGCAGTGCAGCTGGAGAACACCAACTTTCGTGCCAAGGTCGGCTACGAAACCCTTGTCGTGGGAATGGCGGCCAAGGACGTTCGCAAGCAGCTATCCATTGCAGCGGACCCGACAGCCCATAGCACCGGCGGCCGCTACACGGCTACGACCTTCTCGGAGCCCTGTTACAATGGCCAAGAGCCGTGCTGCGCGTCGGTCGAATGGTAGGCGCAGGAGTGGATCCTCATGTGGAGCTGCTGGCACGCTGACCTGCGCGAGCGCCGCCGCGAGGGATGGGTGGCGTTCGCGCGCGAGACCTTTTCGCCATTGGGTGTGGGAGTGCCTCGAGAATGCGAACATTGGCAGGGAGTGTGTCCAGAGGACGCACGTCTTTTGCGAGCGCGCCTTGACGAACATGGACGATGACCCGCAGAATGCCTGCCTCGACTACGAAGAATCCCGCCTGCCAGCTGGTGCTCGGAACCGCCCCCCCCCCGCCCCAAACAGCTTGACTCTGGAGAGCAGCAGCTCTTCGCCGTGGACTGCGCCACGCCCAGAAGTCTGGGAGGAGCTTTGCGGTGCCACAGAAGCAGCCCGACTGAGCTGCTCCGGAATCTGTTTGGACTGCTCGGCCGCCAGCACAGATGCGCGAGTGGCGCGCGCCAGCTGGGGGGTCGCCTGGAGGATGAGTCAGGGCGCGACTGATGACGCTGATCTCCCCGGATGGTACGGCACCTTGGGCGGCGCACAGACGGTGCAGAGCGCTGAATTGGCGGCGTTCGTACGGGCTCCTTCGTACGGGCACCCCGCGGCTCTCGAGGGACTGCCATCATCTTCAAGGATAGCCAGCTCGTGTATGATGGTTGGCATGCGGGCCGAGTGCAACGGCCTGGCGGGCAGATCCGCCAGTGGCGGCGACGCGTCGGGGTCGCCTTGGAGCGCTGACCTGGTGGCAGCGCTGAGCCGAGGAGGCGAGGAAGCAGGCCCCCAAGCGCACTCCGGAGCCTTCCAAAACGACCCCAGGCGTCGAACAACCTCCGCGAGCGTCGGCCCACAGACTGCTGGTGACATCACTGGTGGGGACCCCCCCCCCTCGGCACTGCCCAGACCACACCGAGCAAGGATCGCGAGGAGGCCCTCTCGGGGGGCACGCTGAGACCTTGGGCCGTGACCTGGGAGGAGCTGGGGCGCAGCGATTCGTGGCGCTGGTCGGCGTGAACATGTCAGGAGGAGGAGGAGGAGGAGGAGGAGGAGGAGGAGGAGGAGGGAGGAGGAGGAGGAGGAGGAGGAGGAGGAGGTGGAGGAGGAGGAGGAGGAGGAGGAGGGGGCAGGGGGAGGAGGAAGGAGGAGGAGGAGGAGGAGGGGAGGAGGAGGAGGAGGAGGAGGAGGAGGAGGAGGAGGAGGAGGGGAAGGGGAGGAGGAGGAGGAGGGGGCGGAGAGGAGGAGGAGGAGGTGGAGGAGAGGAGGAGGAGGAGGAGGAGGAGGAGGAGGAGGAGGAGGAGGAGGAGGAGGAGGAGCAGGAGCAGGAGCAGGAGGAGGAGGAGGAGGAGGAGGAGGAGGAGGAGGAGGAGGAGGAGGAGGAGGAGGCGGCGGAGGTCACAGAGCCTGGAAGCGGTGCGGGTCCGCGATCAAGGAGTCCCAGAGGCGGATGCAATCTGGCAGCGTCAGCTCCTGGCGCGGTGGGAAACCTACGTGTTGAGTCGCATGTCCCTGTCTTCTTCCTCCGCCCGCTGCTGTCGCTGCTGCTGGTGCTGCTTTCGCTGCTGCTACTGCTGCTGCTGCTGCTGCTGCTGCTGCTGTCGCCGCTGCTGTCGCTGCTGCTGCTGCTGCTGCTGATGCTGCTGCTGCTATTGGTGCTCCTCTCGACTGTTGTTGCTTTTTTCCCGCGATTTCGCCCTTTAACCCGTCTCCCTTTCCTCTGCCCGCTCCTCTCCGTTTTTGTATGGTTTGTTCTCTCGCTATCTGTATCTCGTCTTTCTCTCCTATACATAAATGTATCGCGTTTTTGTTATACATGCACACAAAAATGTTTACTACAAACATCTATTTATTACAGCATCTTACTCATGTCCTTTTTCACCACTGCTCCACTTTCTTCCCCTCTCTCTCTTGCGCCCGGGAGAGAGCATAAAGGAAGCAGATATGGATGATGAGGGAGGAGGAAAAATAGGAACAGCGAATGATGCCGATAATAACAACATCATGAGGTCGGTGCCGCAGAACAGGAGGATGAGGATGAGGAGGAAGGAGGATGAT